GTGCATAGGAGCCTGAGCAGAGACAGGCAGTGAACCTCCTGCGGGACAGTGTTCCAGACGTCATTTTTAGAAGTTGTTTCTAGCTCAGAAACCATCTTGTGTGTGGTGTGACTGTCCACAAGCCGGGGTATGAAGTGGGTGTGGAGGGTGGACCACGGCAGACACGTGGCTGAGCTGCTGGTGAAACTGATCCCGGGCGGGGTTTTTTTTCATCAGAAACCTTCATAAAGTGGGTGTTGATGAATGGGCTAGTGTCACCTGCAGGACAGGCCCTGCTAGTGCCCAAGAGCCTCAGAAAGTACACCTTTGGGAGGGCCCGAGTTTAACCCCTGACCTCAATATCAACATCGCCTGGGTGCCCCTCGTCTTGAGACCCCTGCATGAGAGGGTCTGAGCTCACTTGCGTGGGTCGTGGCCAGTGTGGGGTGGATGGGATAGACACCCACGTGTGTCTGGGGGAAGCTTGTGGTCAGTCTCACCGGGCCTCTAGGTGATGACCACCTCACTGGAGACCAGCCGCGCCGGTGGGTGGCACTCAGGAAGTGCAGGTCCAGAGACGCGCTGGGCGCCGGGCGTCCTCATCACAGACAGTGTAGACGGCCTGGTTCCAAAGGGCTTCCAGACAGTTCTGAGAGGTGGTTGTACTGACACCTGGGCCACATGTGAGGCTACGATGGCCCCTAACCCTTGCCAGCTTGGTTTTGTCCAACCCCATAATTTCCACCAAATGGGTGGGTCCGAAACACGGCGTCGCTGTGGCTGAAGTCGCTTTTCCCTGATGACCTTTGCAGTCAGGCGTCTTTTGGGGGTGGGGCCTTTATTTTAAATTTGTAAGGATTAGCTTTCTGAGACCAGGGAAGGAGAGCATTTAGTGAACGGAGTGACTTTCTCTGTGTGTGACACATGAAATATTCATGCTTAATTCGGTAACATGGCTCATAAAAATATTCGGGATTTAACCTAGGCGAGAATTCTGCCAACCGAGTCAGTATAAATCCCAAACATCCTGACTGGCTGCGTCAAACAGAGCCCTTAACCCGTATTACAAATAGGAATGGGGACGTCCTCCTGTCCCTGCAGCGGTGGCTGGGGACGCTGGCAGCTGGCTTTTCCTGGGCTTTCTGCCCTGACCTGCAGAGTTAGGGAGCGAGGCTGGTCTGGAACCTGCAGCTTCCCCTTCACTGAATTTAAACCGTTCCAGCCTTGCTGCCTGCCGTCCATCCTGATGCTTCCCTTCCATGGACTCTGTCCGTCTTGGGTTGGAGACGCCTGCGGATGGGCCCGCGTGTGGGCTCCCCCCGGCATGGACTGTGCGATCGCACCTGACCCTCCACGTGGGCTGTGGAAGGTGCTGCCGTGGTGTCTGACGCAAAAGCCTTGGGTCTGGGCCGCTGCTGCATGCAAGTGAACAGGGGTGTCCTCTGCTCCCTGAGGGGGGCTGAGGGCTCTGTCCGAGGTCACCAGTGAACAGCAGGGACCAGCCTTCCAGCCCAGACTGCACGTTCCTCCGCAGCACAGCAGCGGCCTTAACCTGGAACGACTTCCCTCCCCTCATGCGGGTTTCAGGGTCCTGCCCAGCTCGAAATGCTGCTGCTCCTGTGCCCGTCTCGTTGGCAAAGCGAGGAGGGTCCAATGCTCCTCCAGGGGACCAGAGCAGGAGGGGCCACCGTGCTGATGATGAAGTTGTTGTCTTAAAGTAAAGCAAGTCCTCGNCAGAGCCCTTAACCCGTATTACAAATAGGAATGGGGACGTCCTCCTGTCCCTGCAGCGGTGTCTGGGGACGCTGGCAGCTGGCTTTTCCTGGGCTTTCTGCCCTGACCTGCGGAGTTAGGGAGCGAGGCTGGTCTGGAACCTGCAGCTTCCCCTTCACTGAATTTAAACCGTTCCAGCCTTGCTGCCTGCCGTCCATCCTGATGCTTCTCTTCCGTGGACTCTGTCCGTCTTGGGCTGGAGATGCCTGCGGATGGGCTCGCGTGTGGGCTCCCCCCAGCATGGACTGTGCGATCGCACCTGACCCTCCACGTGGGCTGTGGAAGGTGCTGCCGTGGTGTCTGATGCAAAAGCCTTGGGTCTGGGCCGCTGCTGCATGCAAGTGAACGGGGGTGTCCTCTGCTCCCTGAGGGGGGCTGAGGGCTCTGTCCGAGGTCACCAGTGAACAGCAGGGACCAGCCTTCCAGCCCAGACTGCACGTTCCTCCGCAGCACAGCAGCGGCCTTAACCTGGAACGACTTCCCTCCCCTCATGCGGGTTTCAGGGTCCTGCCCAGCTCGAAATGCTGCTGCTCCTGTGCCTGTCTCGTTGGCAAAGTGAGGAGGGTCCAGTGCCCCTCCAGGGGACCGGAGCAGGAGGGGCCACCGTGCTGATGATGAAGTTGTTGTCTTAAAGTAAAGCAAGTCCTCGAGCTGATTTCAGGAGGAAGGACGTTGGCTTCAGTCGTCTAGTTGTGTTAGAACAAAAAACTAAAGATAGAAGAACAATCCCACCTCCCTGGACGTTAAAGTGGCTACCCCAGCAAGCCAGGATTCGGGGTACTGTTTTGTGTGAATAAAACCCAGTAGTTGGGGTTCCGCTTTACCCTCGGTTCAGAAGTGAGCTGTTCCAGGACAGCTGAGACATCGATGTGCCCGTCCCACTGACAGGGTAGAGGTCATGCCGTCCCCTGCGGCAGACAGACGGGCGGCCTTTCCGGTGGCACTTCTGCAGCTGGGGCGGGGAAGGCGGGAGGACCAGGCCTGGCCGCCCCTCGCTGGCTTCCCTGGTCCCCCACCCTGACTGGCGGGGGGCTCAGCTCGTGCCCTGCCACCCGGAACCCCCTCCTACTTGAGGCCTCTTCACGCTCCCCTGTCGACTCTGACTCTTTGTGTCTCGACGGGATCATTGCTGGGAGTCTCTGTGATGACGGGAATGTGGTCTGTACTGCGCTGTGCTCACACAGAGGACGTCTGTGAAGGAACCGGGCCTGGCCGGGTGGGGCGGGGTGACCCGCTTCCTGCCCAGGACGTCTGACGTGCGGAGACCCCGTGGGTGACCTGTGACTCCCTGTGGACGTAGTCATGACAGCCAACCCTCCGATGCCTGCCTCAGCCTTGTATCTGCAAAACCGAAGAGACTGACAGCCTCACACACTGTCACCACAGAGAATCATCTGTCCCTAAGCGGGTGCAAGAAATCAGGAAGCGCGAAAACTTGCGAACGTGAGTGAAAGGAATGCCCAGAGCCCCTCGAATTCCAGAGCCTGTTGTCCAGAGCAGTGAAAGCTAAATGCTGTGACATCGCTGGAAAGTGTCCTCAGTAATCTTCAGGGTCATGAAGAGTGGCCAGTGACCACTTAAGATGTAAACGATTCTTAGGTGGTTTAGTTGTATGAACTTGGCTGTGTGCAGTTTCCGAACATGCTCTGTGGACAGAATAACCCATTTTTCAAACCTAAAATAGGGCGTTTGATGTAAGGTACCATATTTGGAGTTACTCCTGCCCTGGGGAGTCTGGAGGTGCTGGGTTCCACGACAGGCTGCCCGCAGGTGAGCGCTGTTGCAGTGTGGACAGTGGACAGCCTGGGCCCTGTGCCCCCTGCCTGCAATGACAGGAAGCTGGAGCCGCCTGTGAGCAAAGTGCAAGAGCTGAGACCTGGGCTCTGAGGAGGCCCTGAGCCGTCCTCCCTTCCTTCCACATGTGTGCTCTGGGCTCCTACCAGGGGAAGGACAGGGAACCCCAGGCACGGTCCCTGAGCCTCAAGTGGGGGCATGCAGGTGCCGCGTGGGGGTGCGGGATGCCGAGAGGCCCCCACCCAGGCTGGGAGGTGGAGAAGGCCAGTGACGGGGCCCCACCTGCTTCCCGCCAGCGCCGGGGCTGTCTTCAGAGTTGCAGGGAAGCTGGTGTCGGCATGGTCAAGTCCACGGATGACACACACCTGGTGACTGGGGCTGTCCTGCGTGTCAGCTTGTCACCGTGTTTGCATTCGCATCTGCAGGACTGGAAGAGCAGGATTCGAGGCGGGCACCGGGCAGACCATATCTGGCTGCCTGCACTGGAATTTTTCAGGTTGAAATGTCTCCAGGACCCCTATCTTCAGATGTAGAGGAATTGACCTTTCAAGGTGTTTGCAAGCCACAAGCTTGCGTCCAGTCTCTCACGTGGAATCGCGCTGAGGTTCAGGACCGTAGTTGCTGTTGTGCATCTGGGCACTGGCCGGGAATCATGTGCTAGCTAGTCTGGAATCGACGCAGAAAGGAGAAAGTCCCCAAGAGGCAAGAGTGCGGCCAGCCCCCGCATGCCTGGCCAGGCACCCTCACTGCTGCAGGGGACCTGGGTCTGAGCCGAGCCTGGGGGTTTCCCCAGGGGTCTGGCCAACCTTCCTGCTTCTGGAGGTGCTGCCAGCTTGTCCCCAGACCCTGATCCAGAGCTTGTGGGGACAGGTTACTAGAGCCACCTCCCGTCACTGCTGAGCCTGGGGACTGGGCTCTGCGGTTGCCCAGTCAGCGTCAGGCATGTGGCAAGGCCAGTGCCTGGTGGGACCTCCGAGCATAACTGGAGGGTTGGAGGCTGTGGGCTGTCACGGTGGCTGGGTTTTCCTCACAGGCCAGCAAGTTGTTGCACAAGCAGCGGGTGAGAGCCCTGAGAGCCGGCTGGCCGTGCCCAAAGCGCAGCGGCTGAGACCGGGCGCGCTCGTGCATCTCGTGAGCCACGTCCAGCCCTGCGCCGCCCTTGCCCTCGGTCTCTCTGTGTCTCTCGGTCTCTGCGTGTGTGCGCATGTGGGTGGGTGTCTCTCTCTGTCCCCTCACTACCCCTCTTATAGACATCACCTTTTAAAAATCGATGGCGAGTCACTCAGCACGCGCGCTCTGCACCGTGAGAAACAAAGGCTTTCACGCCGTGGACACTGAAACGCCTTTATCCACCACGTGATGCTCACTCCTCAGGCTGCTCCAGGTCGGGTGCTTGCGGGAGGACGTGAGGCAGGTTCCCCGAGTGACAGGTGCCATCTGCTCTCTCCCCTCAGATGAAATCATGCACCAGGACATCGTGCCGATCTGCGCTGCCGACATCCAGGATCAGCTGAAGAAGCGCTTCGCTTACCTGTCAGGTGAGTCCAAGGCCGGTGGGGGCTGGGCGGGGGGGGGCATGCACTGGGGCCAGGGTCTGTGCGTGGAGACGCGGTGGCCCTGGCCCTGGGCCTCGTTCATGCGATCGGACCCAGAACAGCCGCCGAGAGCCGGCCCCTGCTGCGGGCTGAGCTGCAGCGACACCTCCCTGACCTGTGCAGCGGCGGCCCCACTCTGGTGGCTGCAGGGAGAGGTGGGCGGATGTGGGACAGGTAAGAGCAGGCGGGACAGGACGGCCTCGGGTCTGGGGCGTCCCCAGGGAGCGCGGTCTGGCGCTGGGGCTCCACCCTCAGCATAGCACCCCTTCCTCTTGGGGCTCTGCCCTCAGCCCGGCCAATCTTTTATGTGGGCAAACCTACCTGCTGAGAATAATTCAGGAAAGAAATGCACGCCACGCCTGCCCTGCGCTGCCAGTTAGGGAGGCGCGGGCATCGCGAAGGCAGCTGTGCTTAGGAGCTCGGCCCCTCCCTGCCTTCGAGCAGGCTGGATGCGTTCTCCCTGACCAGTACGATGGCGCCTCCATCCTGCACCTGTGACCCTGACCAGCCCCAGGGTCACCAGCCGGGCCTTCCCCACTCACCTGTCCCTGCAATCTGTGGGAGCGCTGGCCCAGAGGGCACGGTGCGTCCCTGCAGTGGGAGGTTGAGAGCGGGCCCTGAGGAGGTCGTGGGCTCAAGCCTCAGTTCGCTCATCTCAGAGAAGATGCTGAACCTTGCTCACCTTCATCTCCTCTTCTATGAAGAGGGGGCACCCGGGCTCCTGTGAAGCTGGCGTGAGATCGAAGCATGCCGAGAACTCGTCACGGGGCCTGGATACACATGAGTCCCTCAGGTGCCAGCTGTTTTACTGTGACTGAGAGTCAGGCACCAGGATTGGAACCTCAGCTCTGTCCCCACCAGCTGCGTGACCTTGGGAGCTCCGTGACCTCTAGCTGCCTCGGTCCCCTCTCCTGTGCAGTGGGATTGATGACAGAAGCCGCGGCCACGTGGGGAGGAAGGCTGCTGTGTCTTCACACCTGTCCCTCGGGGGACTGGTTCTGGCTGCCTCCACCCCACCATCCTCTTCGGTCTTGGGAAGCGAGGGNCCTGTGCAGTGGGATTGATGACAGAAGCCGCGGCCACGTGGGGAGGAAGGCTGCTGTGTCTTCACACCTGTCCCTCGGGGGACTGGTTCTGGCTGCCTCCACCCCACCATCCTCTTCGGTCTTGGGAAGCGAGGGCCTCAGAGTTTCTCTGCATCTCCCTTACGGTGGTGGCTTTCTCCTGGCCGTCTTGCGGCCGCTTCAGGTTTCCCGGGTGGGCACGTCAAGGGTGCAGGGATGCACGGATCACAGCACCCAGGCGGGCCCAGTCTGCGTGGAGAGAGACCAGGGTCACAGCCCTCAGAGGGTGAGGGGACACCGTGCCTTGAGCCACTCATCACAGACTCTTCGGAGGCTTGGGGGACAGCGTTCGCCAGTTGCTGGGGACATCATCACTGGGGTTCAGCCTGGGCGTGAGTACAGGGAGGGGCAGGAAAGGCGTGGCCCTTGGTGTCGGCTCATGCTTGAGTTGACACGGTTTGATCACTTGAAGCCAACGCCAGCTTTGATCATTTCCCTGGCTCACGTGGTCAGGGGTCTTTAAACCCTACTCTTAGCAGCAGATTTGGTTCCGCAGATGTGCACGGTGGGTGCGTTGAGTGAGACATGGGGTTAGGCGCAGGGGGCCTGGGACTGGAGACAGGACTTGTCCCTGCCCCCCAGGAACTGATGCCAGGCTGGGTGGGGTACAGGGAAGACAGAACTGCGAGGATCCCAGCTCGAGACTTGATGGGAGTCAGGCAGATGCAGGAGACTGCGAGGTGCATGCTGTGGACAGGGTGGCTGGTCCCCTTCCCCGCCCGACCCCTGTCCCCACATTGTCTCCTGTCCTGGAGGCCCCACCCCTGAAACTGTCCCGCAATTGGTCTGGCCTCATCTGATTGTTCGTTTTCACTGATTCCTCTTTATGTTTGTACTGACCAACCTGTGCCACTGTCTGCCTGGTAAAGGACAGCTCATCTCGTCACCCCAAATTCACCCACTGTGGTCCTGCAAGCCCTGTCGACACGGCGTTGTCTGAACAGTGGGGTTCAGGTCCACTCCTTGGTGACCTTGGCCGGGCCCCAGCCTGTCTCAGCCACATATGTTTATTTATCTAGAAATGAGGACTTCTGTCCTGCCACTCACATCCCTGGGCCACGTGGCCGTCAAGTGAGAGAATGCAGTGTGTGGGGGTTGTTTTGTGCCCTGAGAAAGTCCAGTGCAGGTTTCTCCACCTCGGCACAGTGGGGGCTGTTCCCACACTGCAGGACGTTAGCAGCACCCCTCCCCCAAAGCTGCGACAACCTAAAATGGGTCCAGCTGTCCCTGTGTCCCCTGGGGGGCAGAGTGGTCCCTGCTGAGCACCACTGGTTAAGGCAGCAGCGAGGAGGCCTCTCGTGGACGGCGAGGTCTGCGGCCCCCACTCCGGGGGCGCTTGCTGTCCAGGCTGCCTCACTCCAGCAGCTGGCCGGGAGATCCCGACCACAGCCGATTTTCTTACCTGGCAGGAGTTTGTTTTCCTGCCTGCGCTGACCATGACCGCTGCCCCTCGTCCCTCGTGCCACAGCCACCGCCTCCCGCTGCCGGCCACATGCAGCAGCTCCTGAGCAGGGGCCTCTCCGTTTGCCGTCCGCCTCCGTCCTGGTCATTACTCACATGACTGACGCTGGCTCAATTCTCCTGGGCTGTTCCACCAAATTTCTAATCTATTAATCTCTGGGCTTTTTTTAAGTAGAAAATCAGTTTTAACAGATGAGGATTTGCTATTGCCAAGCGTTTTAAGGGAAGCGTCTTAAAGTAAATCCCAAAGAGGGGCTCCAGAAAGTTCTCAAGCCCTGTGGCATTGTGGAGCAAGTTCGTAGCTCCCGAGAGATCTCTTTTCTAACCCGTCAACACTTGTCAGAACGAAATCCCCAGACTCACTGAAGTTCTGAAATCACCCTTCAGCCCACCCACTATGTCTACGATTTTTAGACAGAAAAATATTGACCTTAAGTGTTACAGAAAAATGCATATCGCAACTTGGGAATTTGTGGTGAATCTTACGGAACTTTGGTTCCAGACTGTGTGGCCCTCAGCAGTTATGGGGGGACATAGAGCAAAACCCCTTTGTGTTAAAAACAGGGCTGCATGGAGGAGCTCAAATTCCAGCAGAGAATAGTAAAACCAAAGTGGCAAGATCCCCTTCCGCACCCTCTCGGTGCGTACGAGCCCCTCTCGGTGCGCACCGCTGCCCCCAGGTCTGCCCACGTTCTTAGAATGTGGCGCTGGCCCACGGAGCCGATGCTTGGCGTGGCTCCCCAGGCATTGCCCTGCTTTCGGTTCTGGCTGGTTCCCTGCCTTCCGGTGCCTTCTGCCACCTCCAGAGGGAGGCTCCCTGGAGGGTCTCGCTGGTCAGGCTGGGTGAGCCGGCGGGACAAGTCCTGTACCTGGGGAAGGGTACCTGCTAATCCACCTCACCGTCACTCATCCCCGCCCCCCACCCCCGGCTTTGTTTGCTCTGGTTGAGAGGTCAGCCCTGAACCCTATTTCCAGGCCCCCTGCAGTTCGCCAACAGTCCTGCTCTCTGGTTGGACCTGACTTCCATCAAGAACAGTGTCCCTGTCTGGCTCTTACAGATCCACTAGGCTTGCAGGGTCACGTTTTGTGGCATAATTCCATGAGCTTCCGTGTAGACTCGTTGCTTTCAAGCTTCACCACGATTAGGTGGAGCAGGGCACAGAGCAACGCTGTGAGCTGGTCACTGCTTCATCTGCTGGCGTCACCTTGTGTCTTCACGAGGCAGCCACGTGTTGGGTGATAGAAGAACAAGTTGAGATACGGGACCTCTTTTCTCATACGATTATAACCCAAGCAGCAGACTCAGCGAAGCAGCGATTACTCCCTTCCAGTTACAAAAGCGGAAACTGGGCAGCAGAATTTATGATTGAGACACTCACGCCCTAAAGTGGAAATCGCTGCGATCAGAACCGCCGCCAGCAAAAGCCGGTAACCGAGATAAAGCCAGAGCCCTGAGCACAGAGGCCGCCCGGCGTCCCGCATCTCAGTAACAGCGGCTGCCCTGTGCTGGGCCCAGGCTCACACTGTCCCGCTGTGCAGGGGGGATGTTGGATTCTGTTCAGCTCTCACGGATGGTGACGTTGTCAGGCATCCATCACACGTGCGGGGACGCTCTGATTTGGGGACGGAACCATTGCTGTCCCCAAACCATTGGGCTTGCTGTGGTCCCAGCAC